GGCGGAATTGTGGAAGTACATCGACGAGAATCTAGCCAAGAACTTCATCCGTCATTCAAAATCGTCAACTGGAGCATCCATCTTATTTGTGAAAAAGAAAGATAGCTCGTTGCGGATGTGCGTGGACTATTGAGGCCTCAACAAGGTAACAAAGAAGAATCGTTATCCGTTACCCTTGATTTTTGGTCTCTTAGAACAACTTGGATGTGCAAGGATCTTTACAAAAATTGATCTAAGGGGAGCTTACAACCTCGTACGAATCAAGGAAGGAGATGAGTGGAAGACAACGTTTCGTATAAGGTATGGCCATTTTGAGTATAATGTCATGCCCTTTGGTCTTACCAATGCTCCAACGGTCTTTCAACATATGATGAATGATATTTTCTGAGAGCACCTTGACGATTTTGTTGTCATCTATTTGGATGATATTTTGATATTCTCCAAAAACGAGGAAGAGCATGAAAAGCACGTTCGTTTGGTCTTGGAGAAACTACGCAAGCGAGGACTATATGCCAAGTTGGAGAAGTGTTTATTTCACCAAATAGAGATGGAATTTCTAGGGTTCCTTGCGACTACGGAAGGCTTGAAGATGGACCCCAAGAAGGTGGAAGCAATCATGTCCTGGGAGGTTCCAAAGACGGTTACAGACGTACAATGCTTTCTTGGTTTTGCCAACTTCTATCGGATCTTCATCAAGAATTACTCTCAAGTTGCTGCTCCTCTCACTCGGTTGATATGCAAGGATAAGCTGGAATGGGGACCTCTAGTGGAGAAGGCGTTTCAAGACCTGAAGACCGCATTTACTACGGCTCCAATCTTGGTACATCCAAACTTTACAAAGGCCTTTTATTTAGAAACTGATGCTTCGAATTTTGCTTTGAGAGCTGTACTTTCACAAATGGAAGAAGACAAGAAGCTCCATCTGGTTGCATTCTATTCTTGAAAGTTCTCTGCTGCTGAAATCAATTATGAGATCCACGATAAGGAACTTCTTGCTATAGTGGATTCTTTCCAAGAATGGCGTCACTTTCTTGAAGGAGCTGCACACCCAATGACCGTATATACAGATCACAAGAATTTGGAGTATTTCATGTCGACTCGAGTTCTAAATCGATGTCAAGCTCGGTGGAGTATGTTGCTATCTAGGTTCGATTTTGTTATCACTTATCGACTTGGAAAGCAGCAAGGACTATCTGATGCCTTATCGAGGAGATCGTATCTTGTATCAAAGGCTAGAGAAGTAGCGTTTGATCAACAATGTATGACATTGTTGAAGCCAGAGCAATTTCAGCTATGCACTACTATTGTGCCAATTGATGCTGACTTCCTGAATCAGGTACGTGTCGTGACCATTGAAGATTCAGTAGCCATTGATATTAAGTAGCGTACCAATGACGACAAGTTCAAGGTGGAGGGAGATCTTTTATACTTTGAGGAGCGGTTATATATCCCAAAAGGACCAGCACGACTCCGAGTTCTTCAATCTTGCCACGATTTTCTAGCTGTGGGACATTTTGGATTCAACAAGACTTTGGAGCTTATTTCTTGAGATTTTTGGTGGCTCCAAATGTGGAAGGATGTGAAAGATTTTTTCCTCTCCTGCGACATTTATTTAAGATCCAAGAATCCTCGGCATCACCCTTATGGACTCCTACAGCCATTGTCGATTCTACGTCGACCATGGTCTTCAATTTCCATGGACTTCATCACGGACCTACCATCATTGAACTCATTTGATAGCATCTTTGTTATGGTAGATTGGCTTACAAAAATGGCACACTTTGTCCCTTGTAAGAAGACATCATCTAGTGAAGTCACAGCAAGGCTCTTTCTCGATAATGTATATCAATATCATGGACTACCAGATGATATCGTATCAGATCGAGGAACCCAGTTTGTATCAAAGTTTTGGACATCTCTCTTTCAGATACTAAAGGTAGATATCAAGCTTTCTTTGGCTTTTCATCTTCAAACTGATGGCCAAACAAACGGGTGAACTAAGTCTTGGAACAATACTTACGATGCAACATCAATTATTAGCAAGATGATTGGACCACATATCTACCGCTAGCCGAGTTTGCATATAATAACACCTTCCATGCGTTGACTCAATACACACCATTCTTTTCCAACTATGGGTATCATCCAAAGCTTGATTTATTGAGTCCATCAACAAATAACAATCCAACAGCTGAAGGATTTGCGAAACAACTATCAGAGCTTCAAAATACGTTGAAGCTTCAATTATAATCCGCTCAAGAATCCTACAAGGCGTCTACAGATAGATTTCGGAATCAAGCACCTACTTTCAAAATTGGAGATAAAGCATGGCTTCTTCGACGGAATATCAAGACCAAGCGACCATGTGATAAGTTGGACTATCGAAGATTGGGACCATTTATCATCCAGAAGCAAATCAATCCAATGGTGTACCATCTGGAATTACCGGCTTCTATGAAGGTACATCCAGTCTTTCATGTTTCTCTGTTGAAGCCTTATCGAGAGTCGTCTTTTGCTGGAAGAGTGCAATGTCCACCACCTAGTATTGAGATCGAGAACCACGAGGAATACGAGGTTGAAAAGGTGTTGGATTCATTGCGAAGGTGGGGCAAGTTGGAGTATCTTGTTCATTGGTACGGCTACAACATTAATGAGCAAACGTGGGAGCCAGCTGAAAATCTCACCAATGCGCCGCAAAAGCTACAGGAATTTCATCAACAACATCCTCATAAACCTAAGCCGGTTCGACGATAGCTTCTTTCTGAAGCTTGCTCACCCAAGAATATAAGAAAGGGAGAGAGCACCACCAAAATTCGTAGTTGATGTAGTTATTTTCTCCAAGATAAAATAGAATTTTTTCAGTAGCCATAGTTTGGTCTTCTGATATGGATAGCTAAGAGATAGATACTATGTCAGTCAGATTATCTCAATCGACTAGCTCACGAAGGCGACCCCGAAATGAAGAACCGCCTACACCACGACGACGATGGACGATACCGAGTAACCGATCACTAGTGATTGTATTTGAGTCCGAGCCTGCTTACGATGGTCAGCTAGAAGGCGTGTTTGCAGGACAATTTCACAATGAGGACATGGAAGTTCATGCTTGGTCAGAAGTTGAAGGAGTGGGCCACTATCGTTGGTTTCAAGGGTCGATGAACCACTTGCCTTGTGAACAACAGTTAGAGTTCATAGCAGACGTTATGTGACAGATCTTCATTTTCTTGCGTTGGTGCTGATTAACAACAACATTGCTTCTCAGAGACCTCGAAGCTAAAGGAGGGGGTGATGTTAGGGACATAGTCCTTAGAACCTTCTAGAGACAAGTTTCTAGAACCTTCTAGAAGCAAGTCTCTGGAATCTTCTAGAAGCTTCTTAATTGATAGAAGATGTTAGGGACATAGTCCTTAGAACCTTTTAGAGACAAGTTTCTAGAATCTTCTAGAAGCAAGTCTCTAGAACCTTCTAGAAGCTTCCTAGTTGATAGAAGTTGCTTGAGAAGCTTCCAAAATAGGAGTATATATTGGAATCGAGGCTGAAGAGTTCTTCAGTCTCGACAACACATCTCTTGGAGCTCTAGCTCACGTCTCTGGTGTTGTTCTTGAATTCATCTGATTAATCTAGTACTTGCTAGTTCTTCTTGAACTTCTTGTTAGATCTTGAGTCTGTATTTCTGTGTCCGTGACAGTATAATCATTAGAAAATAATTTGTATACTATGTAACTTCATCAATTGGTCTTAATACCTTAATGTCATTATTAACACAAGATACCAGTATTGCATAATCTAATTCAAAAATTTAAGAATTTAACAATAGATCTATAATTTTTAGATGTTATTTGATAAGATTTTTAGATATTCCAAATTTCACAAATCTTGAGATACAAAAAAATGATCAAATATCAAATATTTAAGATTACTAATAAAATTAGGAACACAAATGAATTTATTATCAAATGCCAATATTTGTACTTGAAAGAAAAAAATATATTATTATACATATATTACCATGAAAAGATACAAACCACAATAAATTTAGAAATACAAAGCTTAAACAATGTTCTATTTCTACTCTACTTAGGTGGCTTGTTGTAAATATTAATTGCAAAAATGTCGCAAAAATCATGTAACAACCTTAGGATTTAAAAATAAATTCATGACTTAGGATTTTTCTCATGAATATACTTAAAAGAAGAAATGGTTATATTTTTGGAAAAAACAAACAAAACAAATCAAATCAAAATATATATATATATATATATATATATATATATATATTCTACTTATATAAGCTACTATACATATAAATGATCATGGAATCATCTATATTGGATCTATTATATCTTAAATTACAAGTATTATAAATGAAACATTATTAAATGTAATATTTATAATCTTATGATATAGTTTTATAATATAGTTTTTATAATATACAATTATAGCTTAATAAAAAATAAAAAAATTATAAAAAAACCACTATAACCATATGGTGTTATGATGAAGAAAAAAATAATAACAAAAACCTTGTAAACCATGCTAGATTTTTATTCAATATATATATATATATATATAGTAGTAATTTTATTTTAGAAGCAAAACACTCATATTCTACTTTTGTGCTTGAGAGACTATTGGTATTGTAAACATGTCTAATTTTTCATTAAAAAATTATTTACAAATTTTTTTTTGTCCATGCATTTAAAGTCCACATGAAGTTTTAGCAATTTTAAGCTCAATTTTCCAAAAGCGTCATTTGAAGCACATGTGCCCTAGTGGTCAATAAAAAAATTTGTTTGTTTCTTGGAACTTTCCTTCTATCTTTGCTTTTTATACAAATATATATATATATATATATATATATATTATAAAGGGAGACATTTAGAAAGTTGTTCCTTATCGGCAGCTTGGCTCGTGGACACTAGAGCCTTCACTGGTTGCGTTCATACTAGCACCGGTGACGCAGTGTGAACAGGCCCGAGCCCGGATCCAGCATTCCACCAAGGGCCCTCTCGAGGCTGATGCTCGCGGTGCAGCACTGATGCCTCTTGCGCTTGGACGCTCTGTGAATCGTGCATCGCAGAGTTACCCAAGCGGAAGATTGGCACCGCGTTGCGTTCGCAAGCTTCAAATCCGTAGTTTGGTAGGTTTCCATTTGTGGGTTCATGTAGAAGCTGGCATTAGGGTGAGGAATGAGACAGTGAAGGAAAAGAGTGCGTGGAGGATCGTGAGTGAAGCACTCAACAGATCGTTACTGCGTGTCGCGTGTGGCGGATAGTATTCAAATCCACCTGTGGTGGGTTTGCGATTGATTTATGTGTCTTTTTACTCTTTTTATTTTCGTGTTTTGTTTCAATTTTTCTCCAATTTTCTAGGTGGGATTTAAAGTTTTTAGATTTGATTTCATGTGGATTTGGTTGGGTCAGGGGGAGGCTGGTGTGCCGTTTGTTCGTTGATAGGGCTGGGTATGGAGAGTGCCGTGTCTGAGGTGGGGAAATAGGATTGATCTGCGTTTCACGAAATATCGTCGACCGTTTTTCGGTGAGATCCAGGGGTTCTGGTGCATTCTAGGAAATCGGATCATGTGAGAGTTTGAAGCTGTTGTGTTGCATGGGAGTCGCTCATTGAAACGATTTGCGAGGATTTGGATCTTTGATTTATCTCGAAGTGAGGAGGTTCAGATCGCGATCTCAGTCAATATTCAGGACCTTTTGGAGGGCATTTCTTGGCTTGATCTGGGATGATGTCAACGTAGCGGTTTCTATCTCTGAGGATTTGAGTATTGAGGCATTAATTCCTATTTTAAGGATTATATTCAAGTGCGTGTCACCTCTTGGAGTTCTTTTAATCGTTCTCAAGGATTGAGATGAGCAAGATAGCTGGGGGTTCTTAGGGTTACTCGTTGCCTAGTTAAAAAATTAGGAATACCTGGTAGGTATGGGAATCTACGTTCGAGTCAGCTCCGTCGTAGGGCGAAAGGATGGAGTGAAGTTGTTGAGCATGTGGATCGCCATGTTGGTAGCGGCCTTGCCAGTATTAACGCCGAGTCTGTTCTCAGCATCTAGCTGGGAAACATCTTTATTTTCAGTAAGTTCTGAACTATTCATCTACAGAATGTGTATGTCAATGCCGTGTAGTCTTAAAAATTTGTGGATCCAAAATTATTTCTCAGCGTGATTAATTCTTGTCAGTGTCGACACGTAGCTCAACAATTTCAAAGGAGCGATTACTACTAGAATTTCTCATTTGGTTCAAATGAGTCAAATTCTGCAGCATGCTTGCTAAGCTATGACAGTCGTGACCTTACGAGTAGTAAATTGTCGTTTAATTTGGGAACGTTTCTACAGGAATGGGAGCCTCCAACAGCCAGGCATGGTGCTCTTTTGGACTCTCTTCAGAAAACAAGACTTGTAAGCATTTTGAGGATTGTTTCTGTATTGATGTGTGTTATAAATCTAGAGTTTGTAACTAGCTGTGAATCACATATGATCGGCACCTCTCTGCGTACATAGCACCTGAGAGTGTTTCGCATGTCAGCATGAAACAGAACCTGAAGGTTTATGGGATCCGCCAGATAGTGGAGGGTGGAAGCCCTGTACTCGTCGAAGGGATGAATCATGTAAGACGCAATTCTTTCTAGGCTGCTTGTGACTTGGGTTAACAATTGTTTACTAGACGATAGATCTATAATGTCTCTTATTGTGTAATTGCATTCATACTTTTCCCGTAACAGCTCCTCCATACTAATTTATTTCCGCTTTTATTGTAGTCTGTACTATCATTGTGTCTGATATTTAGAGTTTTACATAATTTTTTAAAATGTTGTCTCCTTTGGAGCAGCTCTGCCAGCTTTTACAAACGGATATTTGCAAGTATTTTTGGAAGGCGGCCTGAATCAACAGCGGATGGGGGTCAGACTTCCTTCTAACAGATTTTCTTGGATTTTAAAACTTGCTGTTTGTCTCGTTGGCAATGCTATTGATGATTATTAGATGCCATTTTATTGTATGTGTTGGTCAACTCATTCGTATAATCTTGGCAGATTTGTGATGCGGTTGCTGTTGCAAAAATTCTGAATGCAACTCTTGTTCTTCCTCATTTCGATGTTAATCCAGTTTGGAAAGACTCCAGGTACGCAGAAGTCAATTCCACGCTTGTTTTGTATTGATTGTTAACATAAAGCCAAAAGAGTACTACTGATTTTTTGGAGATTGTCACTTCGCGGGTCTTTTAAAGGCGGGTTTGCGTTCTTTACAAGCATATTTGGTTCGGTTGATGTGATGAACTTGAATTGGATGCAAATATGCAAGACTGACTTGTTGACCCTCTTGCAGCTCCTTCGCAGACATATTCAATGTGGACCACTTCTTGAATACTTTAGGGTTTGAGGTCAATATTGTAACTAAACTGCCTCCCGAATTTGAATGGAGCACACGAGAATATTATGCTACGGGCTATCGTGCTACCCGTGTGAAAAATGCTCCTGTGCAAGCCTCTCCCGAGTGGTACATCACAAATGTATTGCCCCTTTTGCGCAGGTATGGGTTCCTTTGTCTTACTGTAGCTAAGAGTTTATTTAATATCACAAACTAGTAACTTTCAGGACTTTTTTCTTTATGATCTGTTCATTACAAACATGAACAGATCATTTTGGTCATTTGGTTCTCACATTTGTACTTTGCTAACGTCAAGTACCCTAATATGCTAGAGTGTTGATTCTGTGGCAGCTCTGGAGTAGTTGCAATTGCCCCATTTTCACACAGGCTTGCATTTAATGATCTTCCAGACGAGATTCAGCGTTTACGTTGCAAGGTGAACTTTGAAGCTCTCCGATTCGTACCGAGCATTGATAACATAGGAAACATTCTAGTCGAGAGACTGCGAAAATCTCACGCATGGACCGTGGAGGGTGATGACGTTGGGAGCTCTAAATATCTGGCTCTACATCTCCGCTTTGACAAGGTAGCGCATCAACTCCACCTTTGCTTTCCTGTTGTGCATTTTTTTGGATCTTTCAGAAGCAACAGGATTTCCTTAGTCATGTTCAGCCTATCCATGATTTGATGAAAGTGTCTCATCAAATACCCACATGTTCCTAAAGTTGTAGAGTAATTGCAGTTCAGTTTGTGGAAAGATTTTCTTTATTATCCTATTTTTAAAATGTTTGTTTGAAAATTTTGGAGTGGTATCTTATGGTTTTCGTTGCAGGACATGGCCGCTCACTCAGCATGCGACTTTGGAGGAGGCAAGGCAGAACGATTAGCTCTTGCAAAGTATCGCGGTGTTGTTTGGCAAGGGCGTGTTAGTAATGCCCAGCTTTCGGACAAGGAGTTGCGTGACAAGGGCAAATGCCCGATGTCACCTGAGGAGGTTGGTATAATGCTGGTAGCGTTAGGCTTCAGCCCAAAGACACATGTCTACCTGGCTTCATACACTGTGAGTATTCAGTCATTTTGATACCATGTTCGTAGCACATTTTTGTAAAAGTCATGTATAATTGAATAACTCTTATTTACATATTTTGCAGTTTGTGTTCTTGACTGAAAATGTCCACAACCAGCAGTATTTTCTGAAGGTTTGGCGCATTCTTCTGACTTTCTGGCTGGGCTTATTGCAGGTTTACGGGGGCTCTGCAAGGATGGATTTTCTACACAATTTGTTTCCCAACATGGTCACTAAATATACACTCGCCACAGCCGAGGAGCTTGCACCATTTGCTGGAAAAGCTTCACAACTGGCAGCTATTGACTACCTCGTTTCTCTTCACAGTGATATCTTTCTTTCTGCGTCTCGTGGCAATATGCACAATAGTTTGGTAAGAGTCCTTAACATGCAATTATTTCTCCTGCTTTCTACTAGTCCAATGCGACCTGCGGTACTTATAATTGTGCATATCCTGGTCTTGCAGGCTGCTCATCGCACGTACTTGAACGTGAGAAAGACAATAAAACCAGACATGAACCTGATGGCTCGGCTTTTTGCGCACAAAAACTTGACTTGGCCAGAATTCAGAAGAAGTGTGGTTGAAGGCCACAAAAATAGGATGGGTCAAGTTGCCCTGCGACAACCTACCCAGTCCATCTACACCTACCCAGCACCAGACTGTATGTGTACGAGTAGACGCTCCATTGCAGAGCATTCAAATCTGGACATGGATCTGCAGGAAGCCAGATAGTAGTAACTGCGACATAGAACAAGCACCAATGACTTCACAAATCCCTTGAAGAGCGTCTCCAAATTGGAAACGCGTGAGGGTCATGCCTCTGTATGGTAGACGCACCGTTTACCCAATGCTAATTAGGTGATGAACATTCCTTTTTTTACATTTAAACGGTAATCATGTAGATGTGGGTAGTTAGTGCGGCTACCATACTGAAGACAGCTGAGATAATAGCAAAACATGGAAGCCGGGGGAATATATTTGAATCCTCTCAAAAAGTGTTTGCTTCACAGAATCAAGGTTTCTGAGATAGCTTGAGCATCGGTTAAGGAGTGTAAAATAGATAGAAGAGTATTGTCAATTCAATTTCACTTCAAAAATAGTGCCAAGTGGTCTGCGTTTTGCACTCCCTTGTGCATCTCTTTTCATCTTTCGTTTTTTTTTTTTTTTTGTTTTTGTTTTGTTTTCTTTTTCTTTTTTTTTTTCTTTTCTTTTGTTTCATTCTTTCGACGTGTCTGACAAATCATGTTGCAAGCAGTGGTCAGTTGTGAAGGTGTGCACGATGAATCAACAGATAATGGGAAAATCTCTTTTAAGTATCTTTGGGTAAACCTCAAGCGATAGAATAATAGATATATATATATATATATATATATATATATTAACAAATGACTTACGAGTGATTGTTAACTTGAGAATTTTTACCATCATACATTTCTGCATGTATGGCAGAAAATAAGTTTCTTAGCTTTGAATGAATATTATCATTCTTCAAGTCTAGTTCCACAAAAGAATTCATTTTTTTTAATGAATTCAATTTTAGAATTTTTTATTTTTATTTTTATTTAAAAATTAATATCTACAAATTTTACATAACCATATAAAAAATATTTTACAAGTTCATCATTTTGGTAGTAGTGATTGATTTTTTTAAATTAAATAAATTTAAATTTTGGTTTTGCTTCTCTCATGCATGTTTATGTTTCATAGAAGTTTATCAACTATTGAGAAGATGATTCAAAACAAAACATTGAAATTAAAAGCATGCTCTCATTGCCAAAAATTTCTCAATGATGCTTCGAAAAAAATCTTAAGTAAAATATACAGTTTCTCAATTTATATCCAAAATGTTCATTGGAAAAACCCCCTTACACAAGGTGGTTTGGAACAGGGGATAGAGTTGGAAACAGGGACGAGAAATGGGGGGCAGGGGACAAGGGGCTCAGAACGGGAGACAAACTGGGGCTGGAAACAAGGGACAAGGAATTGGGAATGGAGGATGGACATAATCAATCATGAGATGACAAGGAGGTGTGTGGCTTTAACAACATTGGGGCGTAGCTTAATTTGCTCATTTTATATATATATATATATATATACACATATATTTTTTAAAATATTAATTAGTGTTGTAAAGAATAGTAATGAGAATTTGCCAATGTTTATTGATTTATTTATCTAATAATAATATCCTGGTTTTTTTCATATATTTTTATATACATTTCATTTACATCCAAACTTGATTTCGTTTTCGAATTTTACATTATGTCCAAATATGACATGAAATAATATTTTTACCTTATTATCTAAAAGAACTGTAAGTTTCATAATCATAATTTTATTATTCATAAAACATTATGTAATTCTTGCTTTAGACAACCGTTTTTTATCTGTCCTATTTTTAACATCGTACTTTAGACGCTTGAAGATTGTCTTATTAACCATGCATACCATGTAATTGTGTATATATACCTATATAAACACACGCACACACATATATATATATATATATATATGTATATTTGTAATGTGTGTGCACATAATATATTTTACTGATGTTCCTCTCCAAGTTGTGCAAATGTTTTGCACTTGTATTGTAAACCAAAATAGTTCTACTACTGAATTTATCTTTAAGTTTGTCAATAAATAGTTAAATTTAAGTTGTCATAATAAATTACATATTTATAAATAGGACCTGACAATAAATCAACCTAAGTATATCTATCTAATCTGTTCCATTGTAGAATCAGGCAACACAAGCTTTAAAAGGCGATTCCAGCTCTTATTTTTAAAAAACAAAAAAAAAGAAGCTCATACCAAAACTAAAGTCACATACAGTTGCCAGCAAAAGAATGTCGATTTCTCGCACTGAGACAACAATCATCAACACATCGCTGCTGGTTATGATACAGCACGTAATCTTCGTGTGACATGAGTCTGGTCAACACAGAGTTTTCCAGATTTCGCAGATTCACTGCGAGAATCGATGCAGGCAATCTAGCATGTGGAGCTCAGCAAAATCAAGGCATCTGCTACAAACTCGTGGAGTGAAAACCACCCAACGATCATTCCTTCGATCTTCAAGTTACATCCCACGAAAATGTGAATGCTGCACAAAGAAAACTTTGAGTGATGGCCAAGTTTTTCGGCCTGACTAACCAATTGGTAGAGGTTGCTAATTTACTCTTGCCTACATTACAGGTGTATAATGATTTTGAAAAAAATCGATGTAACAGTGGATTCCAGCTTCCAAGAACCTGAATCAGTTCCAGAAGTCAATTTTATTAGAAAACTGTTGTGAAAACTTCGATATACATATACTTTGTGAGAGTATTGAAAGATATTGCCCATTAAACAAACACAATTAAAAAATCAATAAAACCAATGCAGAAATCAATTGTTAATCACGTCATGCTTACAGTCTGTAGAAGTGCGTCGGCAAAGTCATCCCTACACCTGGTATCAAGTACGGGCTGTAGCAGCGACAGCGTCCAACCTGTGGTGAAACAACTTTGCCATTGCCTTCCGTTCACAATCCTGCACAGAAATTTACTCAAATTTTGAGCGGATTAGCACTACCGTTGCAAAACGACACCAAATTGTGGGGAAAGAGCAAGAACTTATTTTATGAAGCATCAGGGAATTACTTTCTAGAACAAAATTAAACTTCAATTCTAACACACGAATATGGTAAGCTTCTTTTCGTGTACCTTGAACATGTTGAGCCGAAACTTTTTGGTAGGATTAATTCGGACAAGCTTTATGTAAGTGGCAGCAAAGCTCAACTGATCACGCGGTGTAAAGCGTTCCACTTCATTAAACCAAAGGCAAGAGAAAAGGTTGGCCATGGGGGTGTGCGCCCTAACTATGAACGAGCCCTCAGGAACATCTGCTTGGACGTGCCACACCAAGTGAGCAACTCAGAATGCCACTCGCATCGGTTGAAAACTCCTAATAATTCTCAACATATACACGAGAAAGTGGAAACGACGAGAAGCACTGCTACGAGTCCTAGCCCACAATCGTATCCGTATGTCTTCACCAACCAACAATATGACTAATTGCTAAATTCAGTCAGGATGCCAATAAAGACAGCATATGTAGAAATGAACGCTTGAATTATGTTCTGACTGAAACCCAACAAAGAAAAACTCTCAAGGTACGATGAATTACTGTGGAAGGTCATGTCCTGTAAAGAAAGGTAACACGACATAATTAAGTAAATTAAAAACATAAGCTGATTAGAAGACTTACGACTTGGTAGGTAACGATTCGGATCCGATTTGTTAAAGCGCGGAAGCCCCTCTCGCTGATAGAACTGAAACTGCTCATCAATGATGCTGTGGTTGAACTTGTTCAACTTTTTGTTCTGTGATACTTCTTCCCACACACAATGTCGGTCATAATGATTGGAAATAGCATACTCGTGGTCCCCCCGCCACAAGAAACGTTCTAAAATCAAAAGTGGATCAGCATGGAGGCGAAGTTTGCTGTCCAACCATACGGAGTATCTGTCAATGCCCACCAAGCCAACATTTAGTGGAAGAATGATCTTCCCAAGCGTAAGCTATTGAATTATACGATTGGCATAGTCAAATGAATGGTCCTATATATTGCATGACAAATTGGAAGTTCCACCCAATGTGGGATACTGTGAAAGCAGGGTATAACTTAATACTCTAAAGTACTTCTTATCCGAGCAATTTAGCGGACACTAGCATGATATAAAGGCAGCGGCCTCAGAACCTGGCATTAGGAAATAATCGATGTGTCAAGAGCTTGGGAATTTTGCCATTTCTTCGTCCATCTTGATATGGTAAGTTCTTTATGAGAACAATTTTCCACAAGCCAAGAATACCCTTATCATTGGGTGTTTGTCCATCCTGTTTAATGGCATCCAGGCTCTTCTGGTCCACAAACATCACGAAACACACCCTTGCCTTGGAGGAGTTTGACATCTACACACCATATAGAAAACAATTAAAATGACTTCGAGAGGTATCTCTAACTATAATGATCAAAGGTCTCGGGTAGGAAGTAATAGGAAACGATGCTCCATCCTTCGATCCGGGCTTACCTTCTTGTTTGTGGGAGTTCTCAAATTGTCCCAAGCGCCAAAGATGCAAGAAGAGACTGCAATGTGGCAAGTGTCAAGATATTCTTTATCACTCTCGCTCAACTCAAATCCAGTCCACGGTTCTCCATCGGGAGCCTTGACAAATCCACAGTGTAGTGTCTGATCTTCTGCATAAAAGGACTTTTCTCTCTCCTCTAGGGATTGATGGCCTCCGAACTTCGCGACCCAGTTCGGGTCCCTCAAAGGACGTACTTCACTCTGAACATAGCTCAAAGAGATATTCACAAAGGCTGCATCTTCCTGAGGCTCTTCAAGCCCTTCCGTTGTTGGTAGAAAGTCGATCTCGCAAGGTGGAGCTAAATACAGTCGACAATAAGTTAGAAATCACCATCGAAATTTTCTGGAGGCGTACAAATCCAGTACTTGAGAGCTGGTCTTAAAGGAAACTAGGACTTGATCCGCATTACAAAGCACTGAGATACAACTGCACGTTTCTAAAAAATATCATGACTCACACAATAAAGAAGCGCACATAAGGAAAATGGCTACGTATGGCAATTTATGTATGTGTAAATGAAATTGTCTAGATAGCAATCAAAGAGATACACACTTGCAGTATGCCGCCTTTTCTTTGTCCTTGGATGCTTCTGCACAAGTGACTTCTGAAAGTCGTCACGATTATCCACTTGAACATCACCGACACCTGCGTTGAGATATTTTGAAGTACTTGTTTCACTTCTTTGATCTTCAAGTTTGTCAATCACAGACTTGACACCCTCAGCATCAGCTTGGATAGTACCCGCTTCTCCTTTGAGACCCACAACCCGCCTGGACTCGTCGTTGCTATCGACTACCTCAAGCTTTTTCTCCACCTCCAGTTCGCCTCCGTCATCGTCATATTCATCGAACTCAGGCTGCAACTTCTCCAGATGTAATTCCTCTTTTTGATCTAACCGATCTTCAATACGAGCTCCAATTTCTACTAGTTCATTTCGACCTCGTTCGTTATATAAGCTACCACTTTCTGGTTTTTTTTGCACGTCTTGTCTGTTGTAATCCTGGTTACCACCCCCATCTTTGCGAATACCACCATTGTCGATCCAAACAACTGCAACACCGCCAGAATTATCACCACCTGTACGTAGCAAATACTGCACAATTTATAAGAAATTCGTCGTGCATATTTTCTATCCCTCGAATCAAGAGGAAGACCTTGATGCTTTTGACCTAATTTTGATTCAATTGAGAGTTTGTGAATGCGATATAGTAGATAGAGCAACAAAAATCAGTACCTGATTGCTGCCCATCATTTTCGTTTTGTTGAGGAAAACTTCTATCACCTGCTAAAAAAAAAAACAATATGTCATAAATTTTATCATATATCTCACATCAAACGATAAAGGAAATCTGAGGAGTCACAGCTTTAGCTTCAATCACCATAAGAAATAAGGAATAGCAGTGACCTAAGAGAAAATACACATTGTAACTACAATTTTAAGTATCAACACTAATCCAGTCTTCAATTCAAACCCTTGTAGTAAAGCTTTAGGGAAGAGGAAAATAAAATCTAACAAAACCTCACCTACGAGAGCATGTGAAATTGCATGGCTGATGAAAACTGAAGCCACCAATCCAAGTAAACAAACAACCAATATGCATGGTACCGAACAGGGCAGAAACCTCCACGAATGTGACGCCCGCTTCACTTTCGCTAACCTAGAGATGTTCTTCAAATTGCTGCCTCTTAAACCATTTTGATCACTTCTCCCGCCATCATACATTCTAGAATGACCCGGGGAGGGTCTTAGAATACCCACAACCTTATGGTCTCCATTTGAGGACGCATTTATCCCCATCGGCCAAGTCCCACTTCCTTGCCTTTGAAGGGCCATTCCTGAACTCAAGCTTCTCCGTGCTGCGTATCATCCCAACCAGACCATCGCCTTACAGCTCAGGCGATACAATCCCAACACCACCTGTTACGATGAGCAATATCACTCACTTGATTCTATCGCCGCATCATCCCCCCCCCCCCCCGAAAGCATTCTAGAAATGCATACCCATGACTACGGAGACACCGCAAAAATATCAACTGTGAAAGTCGAAGTGCCCTAAAGCACAAGACTGACTCGATATTCTAAAACAATAAACAGAGCAAGGGCACTACGTCAAAAATAAACCCAAAAAAAAATGCGGCAAATCCGAGGATCGCCAACACAAATCCCTGGATTAACTCCTTCAAGCGACTGGTTCACCTCGCCACGGGAATACACCCAAAACGACAAATCGCCCCCTCCTCCCCCTCCCCACTTCAAAACGCTATTGAGCTCGTACAAAACACCACAACCCTTAACTAAAATCTCTCGGCGCACTCGAAACCTGGCCCTAACACGCATTGCAAACCCACATGTTTGGCTTCGTGATCAAACCACCTGCCAGCCCGAATCCTCACAAAAACCTCCGACCCAGTTCCACGTCCGGTCGACTTCGGTCGTTGGTCGCCTTTGAATTCGGATTTGCGTCACAGACCGACAGGGCAAGAAATTCCAACTGGGTAGTGACGAATCTGGACATGTCACCGCATGGAAGAAGAGAGTGTATTGCCCGCCATAACAAGTAACACAATCTCACATCCAACAAGAAAGAGAAAGAGCGAAGTAAACGGACATGAAGGACGAATCCTCAGTCTTCTTCTTCTTCTTCTTCGTCGTCGTCGAAATCGGGGGCAATCGCCGCACGATGATGATAGCAGCAGAAGCAGCCCTCACACACTCTCTCGCTCTAGCTCAATCAAACTCGGCCGAGTCTGAAACTGAGACTGTCCGAGCTGGCAAATGTCCACGTCAACAGTCGATGACGGCTTCCAAGTTGCGGATAGGTGTCCCGTGGCCCTTCGATGTCGATCGTTCTGTGGACGGTATTCGTTCGTCGAACAATGAGGTTTCGTGGAGTTGTATTAGTGGATGAATGTGTTCAAATGCATTTTGAGTATAAATCTGGTGAAAACTTGCAACAAATATTGAGAGAAGTAAATATGTATGTATATATATATATATATATATATATATATGTATGTATGTATGAATATTATAAATATTATGGAATTTTTTGGTAATTGTGCAATCAGATTGTTTTTGTCAAGAATTCTTTGTGCTAGGAATTTTATCATGAGATTTATTTCTAATAAATGTAGTATGCATTTAACACTATGAATACGTAATAACATTATGAAATTTTCATAAATTTGTAGACATGCATACATCAATGCAGTTTTCAAACCTTTTTTTTTTTTTTTTTTTTTTTTTTTTTTACACATTAACAAAAGTACAGAACAAGTTTAATTTTTTCCTATGTTGTAAAAATTGTAATGGCAAGATGCATGTTTAACTTGTAGGATGCTATAGGTAAATATTTTTTGTAACTTTTAGAATGTATAGAGGTGTAATTTTATATAAATATATATATAAACATGTATGAGTATGTACATACATATACTAATAGACATGTAATTAATTAAATGTAAATAATTCATTTAAAGAATATTAAGAATTAATTAAAATCAAATTGAATGATAATTATTCAAAAAAAAATCAAGTCAAATAAAATAAAATTATATTTTCTATTACAATATTTTATTATTGACACATATATTTATTAAGACAAAACTTTAAGAAGATAATATGCTCTTGTGTCATTAAAAATAAGAAAGTAGTCAAATAAGAAATAAACATAAGATAGAAAGAAACTTAAATGACTATTACAAAGAACCTATAGAGTTTATGAAAAATTTATTCACAAGATTAGAAATGGCCTCAAGTCTAGTAGAAGCTTTCTAAAAATAATAAAATTTGTAGTATAATTATCAAGTTGTAGATTGCTTCTAATGTAAATTTTTAAAAGTAAAAAACTTTTAAGATAAGTTTGAATAATTAAAGTCTAAATATCTAATTTGTGTTTTAAAAACTTCTTTGAAACTTCTTAAAAGAAGATATTATCTACTTAATATGTTTCTATCTACATTTATTGATTTTAATTTAATTATATAATGTAAGCATCTATTACAATTTATATATTAAGATTGCTCAAGGAGGCAAGTTGTGGCTTTCGTTCATTGCATATGCCTCTCTTTGTTTTCATCAAAAAGATTGATGTTTTGTGGAATTCACAACCTATTTTACAATTCATCATTGTATTTTACAATTCATTAGAGAGTTTTATAAGGTGTTTCATACTAATTTTTTTCTCCTCGGCTTTATGCACTTCATATTGTAATCATAAGGTAATCATAGGCATTGGAAAGGCAAATACATCAAGGAAGGCTTAGTATGTATTTAAGTTTTGTGTTTTGCATATGAGCAATGTGTTTTTGTGTATATCTTGATAATTTTTAATCTGCATTTAGTTTATGCAAGTATAGTATATTGAAGAAGGCTCAGCAAGTTGTTTAAATTTATGCTATACAAAAATTATGCTGATTCTATGGATAATATAGAAGTTTGTCAAATTTTCTTTTTCTTTCTTTTTCTTCTCTTTTGGTATTTTGTCAAATTTATGAATTATAAATTATCATTATACTTTGCATTCAAAATTTCAAAAGAATTTTATTATAGATTAACTTGAAATTCTTTTAGAAGGTTGTGATTATAGACTAAAGTTTCTTTATTTTCTCACTAGGGACTTACGACAAAGAAGAAGCAGCATCGTGGGCTTACAATTATGCTGCTTGAAAATATTAGAAATCAGGAACTATAATCAACTTTAAGTTGCACACATATTTCTTCAAGGTGGTTGGAGTTCTAATTCAATCTAATAAATCAACAAATATTTAATGATATTAAGACTTAGATTCATGATGGACTAAAAAAACATTGTATTAATTGTGGGATTTTATGATATCTCCAAAATCCATCTTGAAACAAGTCCAATCTATCTAGAAAATCTAAGGCTCTTCTAATCTATGGCAACATAAAACCTCATCACAAAATATGATAAAATGCACCAAAACAAAACTAAACAGACCTAAGTAAAATAAGATAGAAGAGACAAAACTATACAAATAAAAACAAAACAAAACAGAGCTGAACAAGAAGGTACAAAAACAAACTTAACCAAGAGAGAAGGTATGAAGCCATACCTATATTAAAGACATGAATCTCAAAGAAAGAAAATCCTCAATACATACTTGTGTCATTAAAAGGAACTTGAAAATCACTCAAAGATGATATAATATTGAACTAAAATGGCTATTGCCAACAACAAGAAGACTAAAAAGTCTTGAAATAAGACTAAAGATTAGAAAGCCATTGACAAGAGTAAAAAAGATTTCACTCTTACTTCCACATATACTCTCTAACTACAAGCTATATGAAAATATTCTATAAGACTTCCAACATGTGTTGATTTTGTGTTAAGCATAAGAACTCGATCAAAAAATAATTCAGATAAGTAAGCCTTCACTCAACGAAAGGTAACAAAATATAAATAAATAAGTATGTATATTGAAAGAGAAACTAGAATGGCTATTGTCAAAGACTAAAAAATATGAAGACCCTTGAAACTAGACTAGAAGCAAGAAAGGAGTTGACAAGAGTGAAGAAGGCTTCACTCTTGTCTCTATATATACTATCTAACTAGGGGCTATATGGCAACATTCTATAGGACCTCCAATATATGTTGACTTTGTAAGATACATGCCTTTACTTACAAGGCAAGTTTTTCAACATGTAGGCCACATAGTTAGCTTAGTCTTCAAGCTAACAACATGTGTCGTACATGGCCAACTTGTTGACCATGTTTCTAATCCCAAAAAATCAATTAAAGACACCTATAAAGTCAAAGAAATATCTATAAAGCTTCTAAGAAGCTTGCATATCAAATATTATAGAATTAACTTACTTTTATCTATTTTAACTTACTTCTATCTATTTGTATATGTAATTACTAGCTTATATGAGTATGTCCGTGACATTACCCCCCTTTTTTAGGGATGAGTTCCACGAGGAGCGGTCATAATATGTCAAGAAAATCTATGATGCGACAAATTATATTCGCCACATACTTTGATCATTGTTCTCTTCAAAAATAATTGATAGGGCATCTCAACCATCGGTAGTGTCCCATACCAGAGCGAAAAGACCACCTAGTTATTTGATCATTGTTGAGGCCTTCATAACTTCCTTTGAATAGAACATTTGGAACACCATCAGAAGTTGTTCCTACCTCTAGTAAAATCACCAAACGCGTTGTATCTTGCCATCTATTCAAGGAAGAACATGTCCTTTTTAAAGATCTTCATCTCGATTGCATCGTCTTGAAGGTTGTGACAATTATAATCTCTTGTCCGGTAGGTGAGCAGATAAAGACTCTTGAATCGAATCTGTTGGTTGATGGTTCTCCATCTCCTAAGTGTCACAACTACAAAGAAGCTAAAAACAAGGATTGAAAGTAGAATGTTATCTTGCCTAGATATATTTCTTTAATAAAGAAGGTTTTTATCTTAATTTTGATGGATGTTGTCGATGAAAAGCCTCCATTGCCTTTGCAGCAATTGTAAGATTCTTTATTGAGTCCCATGTGCATTCACTAATAACATATCCGTGCCAATGGATAAGATATTCTAATTTATTTTGGCACCACCTTGAATCTAAGACTTCTTCTACTTCAAACTCTTTATTATTGTCCACTTCTACAAGAGGAAGTGGAGCTTGTCATCTTCTTGGTATGTCCATTGTCTTGTATGGTTCAAGAAGAGACACGTGGAATACTGGATGGATTTTCATTGACTCCGTTAGATGTAAATGATATGCGACTGGATTGATTTGAATAGAAATAAAAAATGGTCCAAGCCTTCGATAGTCCAACTTTGTCACAAGGATGAGTGGACTTGATATTGTGATGAAGTAGCCATACCTTATCACCTAACTGGACTAGTGGTTATTCCTTTCCATTGACATCCACATTGACCTTTTGTTGTTCTTGAGCTTCTTTGAAGTGCACCTTCATCGTTGCATGTAGCTTTGACAAATAAATCACCAAATCTTTTGTAGCAAGATTATCAACTTTTGAAAAGTCAAAAGTTTCAAGTCATGGATGATAACCATAATTAGTAAAGAAAGGTGTTTGTTTTGTAAAAGAATGTACTATGTTATTGTAAGCAAACTCTGCCAATGGCAAAAGAGTTATCCAATCATCTTGTTGGTAGTTAATGATACATCTTAAATATTGCTCCAAAACTTGATTAACATGCTCCGTTTGTCCATTAGTTTGAGGATGGAATGCCAAAGATAGTTTTATATCCACTTTTAGAATCTTGAAAAGAGTTTGCCAGAATCTTGATACAAATTGAGTTCTCATATATGATATAATATCCTTGGGTAATCCATGATAGTGATAGATATTGTGAAGAAAGAGCTTAGTTATATCTTCATGTGTGATAGATTTTGTACACGGTTCAAAATGTACCATTTTGATAAAGCAATCTACTATCACAATTATAGAGTCATAAGAACCTAAGATTGGAAGATCCGCGATGAAGTCCATAGAAACAAAAGACCATGGTTGTTCTGGAATGGATAATGGCTGAAGATGTTTATAAGATTGATGACGAGGAGTTTTTGATCTTGAGCAAACATCACATGATTGTATAAAATCTTTTATTGCCTTTCACATTTGAGGCCACCAAAAATCCTTAGATATCAACTCCAAAGTCTTATTATATCCAAAATATCCTACTGTTGGGAAGTTGTGACGAGCTTGAAGAACACATAAACGTGCTTCTCTTTTTGGAACA